CTGTAATTTAAGTGTTTTATTCCAATTTTGATATGATTTTTATGCCAGAGAGCTTTTTGTGTAAGAAGCCTCTTAAAACTATCACATGAACTCTGGTTTTGCTTTGGAATACATCATCTCATTAATTAAGAGGTTGAAGTCTCATTACTTCATGTCTATCTTCACTGTATTATGTAAACGGCAACCTATCATTACCAAATCATATGCTATTTTTATTTTTCTAAAGATCTAGAGTTTGCAGCCATCATTTAAATGGAACATTACAGAAAAGAAAAAAGCAATTTGGAGCATCCAATTCTTAGCTATGTATTGACTAAATCTATCCTGCTATTAGTAACTGTTTCAATTTATTTTTCCCTGGTTTGGGTTATAGTTCAGTAACATTCAAGAGAAAGTGTTTTATAGTAGCTAATATAATGTAGAAGATCCATTCCTTACATTGTTAAATTTATCAGCAAAGAAATAAAAACTTTCCTTGGACATACATTGTTTGTTTTTCTTTTTTTATAATAGTGAGTGTGTGCAAACATGCCTACACAGCCACTTGGTGTGCTGTCAGACCAGTCCAGGGGTTCAAACCCATGGTCAATCTTGTGACTTCCAACCTTGTCCACTAAGCCATAGCATCTCAACCAATACAGGTTATTTTTGCCAGGCAGATAACTTTTAGTTTCTGATTATTACTTTTAGTAATCATTAACTTGAAAATCAAATATTTGTAATATTAAAAATATGAGCAACTATAGTGTGAGCAACTAACATATCAAAACCATATGTTCTTCTGAATCACTGATTGCACCCCACACTCATATATACCTTAAACCATCCTAAACTGCCATAGGAATAATATAGTTCTTCATTTATTTTTACAGATAGTGAATTCCATGTTCCATGTAAGACAATATGGGGACTTAAGAGGTTTTTTAAGAATGATTTTGCTTAACTTTATTTATTTATGTATTTATTTTAATTTAACCAGCGAGGGACAAAGTAAGAGAGAGAGAGGAAAAGTGAGAAAGCAAGCTCCCAGGTCCAGGACTCTAACTGCAGTTGGTCATGTGGGAGTCCAGTGCCCTTAACCACCACATCACCTGCTGGCCCCGGACATAAGAGTTTTAATTACAGTCTCCTATGTGAACTTTTGTTTTGTTTTGTTTTGTTTTGTTTTTTTCACTATAGGGCATGTATGCTCGCCAGACAGACAGAGATAGACAAAGCGAGAAATCACCCCCAAGGGGGATGGTCATGCCGCAATCCCTTCTCCTCCATTCTCCTCTTGGGATCTTGGGCATGCACACACACGCGCCCAGCATGAGTTTTAAGCCACCGGGTCCGGGATGCAAACCATGGTCGACTACGTGGGAGTCCAGCAACATAGCCATTACGCTAACTGCTGGTTCCCTGAACTTTAAATAGTTTCAAAGCAATTTTTATAAACAAGATTCCCTTTACCTTAGCCAAAATATTTTGCTGACACTGACACTCACACAGTATTATTTATGCATGTGAGAGTTGTTATTTTTAACTACATAATTTCTCCCTTTGGTTAAATTAATGTTATGCCTTATAACCTATCATTTTTATAAACTAAATATAGAAATAAATCATTACTTACCTGCAGTAAAATTGAGGCTTACCCTTGGAATCAGATAAAATAGGCTTTGAATTTCAGTTCTGCCTCTCATGAGGCGTGTGATGAACTCTTAGGCAGGTTTCTAAGCCTCAGTCTCCCCATTTATACAAATCAGGGATAATAATATATACCTTAAACCATAACTTCAATAATTAAATGAAATAATGTATACCAATTGCCAAACAGGGTACATAATACATTAAAGTATTAAGGAAAATAAAATATTTTCATTCACATAATTTTAAATAATCACATAATTTAAAATAGGCACATGTATTATTATTAAGGATGGTTTAGGAAACTATATTTAAAATTTCTTTCTAAATACAATACACCGTCTTAAACATAGTAAAGCTATTTATTTACAACTTAAGCACAGGTTCTTAATACATTACCATCATTTAGTGTTGTCATTTCATGTCTGTAGTGCTTTGGAAAACACCATGATTAATTTGCTGACTGAATGATACATGGCCTAACAGATCACATTTAGATTGTTTATACTATCCATGAAAGGATTTATAATAGCTACTTGACTGGTTTTACTGTGTACAGTCTGTTGAGTTGCATAATTTTTAAAATAGAAATATTTAGAGATATTAACTGGGTTTGTTTCTTTTTTTCCCTCTCCCTCTGCATCCTTTCACTAGTTACTTATCTTAGATAATATTACCTAACAGGTCAGGATCAGATCAGATACTGCTAAGAATTAAGAAGTCATTCATTAGCTCTGCACTTCATATTAGGAGTTTTTTTTAATTCCTATAACAGGAACAATATTTTTGAAATTATCAGACTTTTTTTTTTCAGAATGCTGTTTTGAAAGATTTAAAAAATTTACTGAGCCCTTCAAAGTGGTGAGAACCTTGAAAGATTATTTATACCAGAAATCAAAGAGTAAGAAAGGTTTTGAGAGAATAACAGGTTCTAAATAGATAATTTGGCCAGCATACAGACCAAATTATATAGGACCAGAGGAGGCCTTGTGATTGGACAAAGAGGCTGACCATATGGACTGACTGAAAACAACTGCAGGTATAGCACAAACAGTTGGTGATGTTCAAGACGAGGAAGAATGGATTACTTCTCTACAGAAGGCATTTAGGCCAGAGAATGACATTTGGACTAGAGCTTTGATCCTGATGTCAAAATAATTTAAGTACCCCATGATCTCAGACAACTTCTGAAGAGAAGAAAATGAGAAGAATTCTGAACTGAGTGTCCCAAAGAGACCGTTTTAAACCAGAAGCAGGTGTGAAAAAGACTGTTAAGCTAAAAAGCTCATATTCTAAGCTATGTTCAGTTATACAGAAATTAAAAATAAAATGAAGACCTTCAATTTTCTAGCTTTAGAGTTTATAATTATGTTGAAATATCATATTCACTAAATCATCAGGATTGAAGATATCTCAATTTTAGTTCCTCTTGATTAATCTAAAACCCTCTATTATGGGAAATAGTGTTCAAGATTAGAAACAACAGGGAAAATAAAGTGTTTTCATTCACTTAAGTATCACAAAATTTAAAATAGGCACTTGTATTATTATTAAGGATGTTTTAGAAAACTACATTTAAAATTTCTTTCTAAAATATAATATGCCATCTTAAACATAGTAAAACTATTTATATTTTAATCAAAAAAACAAACTTTTGAAAAATATATCTCAAAGTGTTAGTTATATACAAATATTATGAATCCCATTATAAACTTTAAGAGTAGAGAATATTAGGATTTTTCTAAATTATAACTGAAGTTATAAAGTATATAAGAATTTCTTAATATGCAGATTACATTTAGGTAATGTATAATCAGCATTTAGTTCAGCCTTGTCTTCAGCTGAGCGTAGTTGGCACATCCCACAATCTGCAGATTTAGACAATTTGTTGTTGTGCTTCTAAGTAATATATCAAAGCTTACTGTGTTACAGGATAAATCATTTGAAGTGTTACCCATAGTAAGTCATACTAAGCATTATATAACTATTAATCTTAAATATGACTATTAATATCAGATTTTATATCAGTTATATTTTTACTGAATCTCAGGCATATAGAAAGATAAAGATGGATTTGAAATTTTTCTTTTATACTATTGCTTTCAAATCTCTTAACCCTACAAGTGAGGTAGGAGATAGTTTCCACACACACATAGTTAGACCCACAAGATGGAGTAACTGAGTTTTCATTAGAAATCATTCACTGGAAACTGCTTATGCACAGCTGGCTTATGGAAGAAACTGCTTGCACACAGGACACAGCTTATAGCAGTGAGTAGTTTAGTTACAATCTGCAGCACCAAGATTATGGACTTTGTGGTTCAGAGGTACCAGACAAAAAATGCGGATCCTCAAGATCAGTTAGCCCCACAGAAAACTTTAGCATTAAATACCGCAATTATTAGTTTTAAAAGGGCACAAGAATGTTAAATTCATAGACAATTCTTAGCTATTTTTTAAGCCACCTCTTTATCAGAAAGTCAGCCCTTGCTTGGTCTGCTAGATAAAAACCCCTGATAAGAGGCTCAACACATTCAAGACCACTCCCTGCTTGGGAACTTATCTTTTTCACTCTCAATAAACTGCTTTATTATCCCTTCCTGTTGTCTGTATCTCTAATTCTTCATGAATGTGAGACCAGAGCCTGGTCATCAGGTGACCCTCAACTGGCACAGGCACTGATACCATGGACCCCAGTATCCTGTATTATAGATAGATATTTAAAAACCATATTTTTAATCATTAATATTTTGTTTTTTTGCTTCTAAGTATTTGACTCAATAGAATCATAAAAAGGTATTTTCATCTTCAAAAGAACAAGTTAACATTTGATTTATTGCTATGGTCATAGCATTTGTCTTTCAATGAGAAAAAATATATATTAGTCTATATTCCTTAACAATCTAAAGAGTGTGTATGCTTGCCTTACATAATGTTAAAACTCTAAATCACAGAATAGGAATAAAAAATTTATACATAGAAAGTGAACAAAAACTTTTATGCATTGCAACACTCTGAAATATATTATTTAATAACAAAAAATGTATTGCTACCTCTGGTTAAATAAAAAACAGTAAAATATCTAAAGTATTGAATATATAACATTATTGAAAATATCAATATTCATGGGCTATTATAAAGGCAACTACAGTTTATAATAAAAAGTTCGAAACAGTTTCTTCAACAATTTATATCATTGAAAATTCAAATATTTCTTCTGAATTTTTACTTTATAAGGTAACAGATACAATATGGTTATAAACAGGTATTCATGAGTATATCTTACACCTTCAAATTATTCAAATATGTTCTTCCACTATTGTCCTGTAAATATTCTTATTCCCTATCTAGTGCTATCAATTTTAGGGTTGGAAAGCTCTTTAACAAATAGATGGCAGATGTGAAAAAAGATAAAATATATCTGTCATTAAGATAGGCCTCTTATAGTGGATGCCTTATGGCAATGTTATTCTTGCATTCCAATGCATTTTCTTAGTTCAGCTGCAGTTTTTTCTAGTTGTTGAATGTTCCATTGCCATTGTCTTCTACTTGACTGAAGTTTGTTCATTTGACAGTGCAAACGTTTAAGAATTGCATCATATCTTTTATGTTGTACCTATTATAAGAAAAGTACCCATCAATAGGACTTGTGTGGAATAAATAGTAAACAGCTATATAAGATATTTTGACTACTCTGAAGAGGAAAGTACTTCAATAGAAACTATTTACTATAGAGTAATGATAATAAAAAATAACCAGTAAGTGTACAATAAAAATACAACACTTATTACATAGTAGATTCTGTGTTGAGAGCTTTCTACATATCGTTAAATTTTCATTACACCTTATGATTTAGGTTAATTATTCTTACTCAACTGAACTGTTAAATTTAAAGTTTAAAGACCAAAAGATCTAAAAGATTTAGGAGATCATGTAGTCCCATCCATGCCTTTAAGTAATTTATGCTGAGTCAATGATACACTGGAAGACAAGGAAGCCAGAGGGTTTACATGCACACATGAAAGTGAGAGAAAGAAGGAGCCACCTTCTACAGGGTCTGGCCATACCGTGACCCCCTTCCTCTATTCCTCCAGCAGGTCAGATCCTGAAAACTCTTGTGTTTGCCCAGCATGTTTCAGCTAGACTAGGTGAGGAATTCAAACCATGGTCACCATGTGGGATCCAGCTTCCCTTGAGCAGTGTATTACCACTGCATGTGAAGCTGGTCCACTTGACAAATTTAAATACCCATATTGTGTGTGTCTGTAGTTCATTATAGTAAAGTATATATACAATATGTAGCATACCATATTAAAATACCACGTTTTATTTATCTAGTCTTCTTTCTAGGGGCATTTGGAACATTTTTATTTTTTGAATTCTGAATAAAGCTTTTTTTTTTTTTTGGAGAGATTTTCACTGTAGGGCGCGTGCGCTCGCCAGACAGACAGAGACATAGAGACAGAAAGCGAGAAATCACCCCACAGGGGGGATGGTCACGCCGCAATCCCTTCTCCTCCATTCTCCTCTTGGGATCTTGGGCACGCACGCACATGCGCCCGGCGTGAGTTTTAAGCCACTGGGTCCGGGACACGAACCGCAGGCGACTACGTGGGAGTCCAGCGACATAGCCATTACGCTAACTGCTGGTTCCCAATAAAGCTTTTTTTTTAAAAAAAGGCATGTTTTTATTTTCCTTAAGTAAACACAAGGAGGAGACATTGCTGAAATGTAAGATAAGCATATACTAACATTCTTAAAAACTGTCAAATCATTTTCTAAATAATTCCACCATTTTATAATCTCCTCAAAAATGCATGATATTTCTAGTTGCTCCATATCCTTGCAATATTTGGTGTTATCATTCATTATAATCTTAATCATTCTAAGAATGGTATTTCACTGTTTATATCAAATAATCTTTTACTGTGGTTTTGATTTGTATTGTCTTCGTATTAAGGAATTAATTATCTTTTCATGTGTTTATCAGCCATCCTCTATTTACTTTTGTGAAATTTGGGTTCAAATCTTTTGTTCATTTTTAAAAATGGCTGTTTTTTTATTATGGAGTATCAAGAGCTCTTTATATATTTCTGGACACAACCCTTTGTATATACATATGTATTACAAATAGTTTTACTCCTGTGATTTTGCCTTTAAGAAAAGGTCTTGCTATGTTGTGATCCTTCTCCCTGAGCATCCTTACTAGCTTCGATTACAGCACACTCCACAGGGACCCAGGGAATGAAACCTGGCTTCCCCTGAGCTCCTTTTCTTAGTAGCAATGTCAACCAGTGCACTCTACTGTGGATGGATCCCTCTTCATTTTCTTAATGATATTTTCTGAAGAATAGAAGTTTCAAAGTTTGAAATCTAATGTATCAACTTTTTTCTGTGTGATTAGTGTATTTGTGTTCCAAGAAATCTTTGTAATTCAACATAATGAAGATAATTTCCTACATTTTCTTCTGGATGCTTTAGTTTAAGCTTTTACATTTTGACAAATGATTCATTTCAAATGAATTTTTTTTGTGTTGTGATGTAGAAGTTCATTGTTCCTTTACAGATATTCAATTGTTCTATTATCATTTGTTGATTACTTTTCTTTCTTCATTGAATTACCCTGACAAATTTGCCAAATGGACAAAACATGATTAATTTCTGAACTGTATTCTGTTCCATGGTCTACTTATTTATTCTTTTAATCCTTATTTTATTAATTTACCAATACTGGGCTCTCTTAGAACTGTAACTTAATAATAAATCTTAGTATCAGAAAGGGTAAATCCTACAATTTTCTTCTCATTTTTAAAGATTATTTTGTCTAGAATAGATCCTTTGTATTTTCATATAAATTTTATAATCAGCCTGTCATTTTCTATTAAAAGTTTTATTAGGATTTTTTTGAACAATGTTGAGGCTATATAGATCATATTGGGGAAAATTTGATACTTAAAGATGTTGAGTTTCAGGCCAGCAAGTGATGTGATGATTAAGGAACTGGGCTCACTCCCACATAGCTGACTGGTTGCAGTCCTGGACCTGGTGGTTGCTTTCTCACTTTTCCATTCTCTGTGTCTTTCTGGTGAGCACACATGCCCTATAGCAAATTTAAGAAATAATAATAATTAATAAAATTAAATAATCAATTAAAAATATATTGAGCTTTGGATGGCATAATAGTTACAACTACGTGAGTCAATGTAGTCAATTGTAGTTCAAGTCCTGGACCCAGTGGCTTAAAATTCACACTGGGGGACCAGCAGTTGACGTAATGGCTATGTCGCTGGCCTCCTATGTAGCCGACCGCAGTTTGAGTCCCGGATCTGGTGGCTTAAACTCATGCTGGGCACATGTGCGTGCGTGCTCAAGATCCCAAAAGGAGAATGGAGAAGGGATTGTGGTGTGGCCATCCCCACTGGGGGAGTGATTTCTTGCTTTCTGTCTCTCTGTCTCTCTCTGTCTTTCTGGCAAGCACACACGCCCTATAGCAAAAAAATTCCATCTCTCTCTGTTTCTCTGGCAAGCGCACACACCTTATAGCAAAAATCTTTTTTTAAAAAAAATTATATATATATATAGATAGATAGATAGATAGATATAGATATATAGATATATATAGATATATTGAGTTTCATAAACCACAAACACAGTATATCACCCATTCACTTAGCATTTTTTCCCAGCAGTATTTTTTTGTAGAAATTTTACACATATTCTCATATTAATTAATTAATTAATTAATGTTGCGTTATTTCATATTTATGACAAGTTCTTAATGTATAGAATTTATATCATCGGTATGCAGTATATATCATCTAATCATATAGTTTTTTATAGCTTTTAAATTTGAATTTAAAATTTATAAATAAAAAATACTAAGAATTCATTATCTGAGCAGATATTCATGACAAAAATAATATTTTCTCTTAGTTTTTGTAACAGGATGTTTTTAAGTGATATAGCATATCTGTTAGACAAGAGGTTTATTTAATTCATTTAATCTTCTAGTTATGTATTGCTACTACATAGGAACTACACGAAATATAACTAATTTTTTAAAGGATTATTTATTTATTTAATTCAATTTATTATTATTATTTTGTACCTTGACAAGAGAGAAAGGGAAAACAAGAAAGCAAACCCCAGGTCTGGAACTCAAACTGTGGTTGGCCATATGGGAAGCCAGTGCCCCTAACCACCACGCCAGCTGCCACCTCCAATGTATCTGATTTTTGTATTTTAGTTTGGATAATGGTATGTCCTCCAAAGGTTCATGTTCTGGAAATTTAGTCCCTCATATAATGGCATTGGAAGTGGTAAGACCTTTAAGAGGAAGACCTTCCCTCTGTGTGGGTGGGCACCTTACCAGACTAGATTGGTGTATATTATTAGTGAACTGAGAGAGAAAGACCTACTTTTAATGTGAGTGGACACTATCCAGTCACCTGGGAGCATAGGAAAAGTGGAAAATTCTGTAAGATGCATTTTTTTGCAAATGTAAATGGGATCACCATTTAAAGTGTTTGAAAAATACCAGACATAAAAAATAATAATAGATTTAATAATATGATTTCTTGTTTTTCAACAAAACAGAGTAATATGTTACAATATTATCTATGTATCCACCTAAATGATCTTTTTTTAAAAAAATTTAATTTTATTAATTATTATTATTTTTAATTTGACCAGAGAGAGAGACAGGGGTGAAGGAAGTGACCAAGCAAGTTACCAGGTACTCAAATCATGGTCCACCATGTGGGAGTCTAGCACTTTAACCACCACATCAGCTGTTGGCCCTTCTATGTGAATAATTTTTATCCTGCCTTTAAGTCACCTTTTCCCTTTGCTTCTCTGACTTTCACTAGTAAGATTGGCTTTCTAGGTGTGTAATCATGTCTGTTCTGATCTCATAAAACAAATGTATTTGTCTTTTGTGTGCCAGCATATTGAATTGTACCAAGGTAAACATACTCTGTCCATGACCCCCAGTAGCTCTGAAGTACACCAATTTTTCCCTATCCTTTTAAGTTTTAAGTGCAAATTATACAAAATTTAAGCAAGAGTAAGCCATCAATGCTTTATACAACATCTATTATCATAAAATATTTCTGTAGCAATAATCATTGGCTAAAAATTTCTTAACTGCTCCAGTTTTCCTTGCTTGAGAACTCTTGGATTTGGCACTTAACATCTTTTTTTTTCTTTTTACCTTGAACAACAATCACTGATTGTTGCTTAGTGCTTTGTATTTGAAGCTTTGTGTTTGTATGCTTTGTATTTTGCTTCTTCAATTTTTTCACCAGTGACTCATAGCTTATCTTTATTCTCCTTTCTCTTATCTGTAGTTCCCTTCTTTGAAAATATATAATGACAGACAATGGACAGGGAAAACTGACATTTAGGGATAAATATTTGGAAATGCTTTTTTTCATTCAGTTATTTCCTAAAAGTACTAAAAACATTTGACAGAAAAACACTGAATTCAAAAACCATTTTCATTTTTTTCTGAACCAAAAAATGAAAAAGCAACATTAATATAAAAACTAAAATATGCAAAGCACAAAATATTTGAGAACATTAAAGGTAGAGCAAAAGAATGCTATAGTTCAAGCA